TTTCTCTAAAAGGAAAAAACCTAGAGAATCACTGGGAGTGAGACTTTTTTTAAAAACCTGCCAGTGAAGAGCCGAAAGCTTTTGCCTCCTGATACAGCGATAAATGACACTGGCATTAGGTGTGTCAGTGCGGCATAACGGCATGGGCTCGGGCTGAGGTGCTAACCTAGGTCCTGCTGGTTCCTCGGCTAATCCATCTTGCCCTCAAATGCTCTGAGGATGAATCAAGAGCCAGATGAAACAGGTAGGATTCAAGGTAAGCTTTCAGTTTAGAGCTAGCAATGGCAAGGAAGGTGCCCAGGTGGCACCGTGGCTAAGTGGGATTGGCTGCTAACGGGGTTAGGGGTTCAAGCCCAGCAGCTGCTCGCTCTGTGGGGAAATGATGCCTCAGCCTGCAGAGGTAAAGACGACAACCTTTTAAACCCTCTGGGCCACGCTACTCTGGTCCCTGTGAGCAGGGATATAGTCCACAGCCAAGGGTTTTGGGTTACAGATGCTAATGATGGGTGGGGAAGGTAGACTCTCTGACCTTGAGTCAATTCTGACTCATAGCGACCCTATAGGACAAAAATAGAGCTGCCCGTGAGAGTTTCCACAGCTATCAACCTTTACACGTACAGAAAGCCTCAGCTTTTTCCCAAGGAGGGGTTAGCAGCCAGCCACCGGGGCTCCTTAGGAGAGAGAAGGGGGGTTAAAAGGTAAGCAGCTCTTTCTAATTCTCACCACCTTACCCTGGCGTTAGTTACCACACCGTTTTATACTCAGTCAGGTACCTTCTTGAGCCCAGAATCGACGTTCAAGTCGGCAACGGGCCCCTGGGTAACAACAGAGCCTTCCTCTTCCCTCTCCCAGGGCTGCCCAGTGAGGCCAGGCCAAGACGACCCACTGCTCCTGCCCGACCCGGCGGTGGCTGCTTCCTACGTGCCTGGCTCGGCTAGAGGAGCGCTTTCCGAGGATTAGCTCACACCACCCTCCCGAACGCGAGCGGGCGTTGCGCCGGCCCACACCCTCATCTCCGGGCCCATTACCCGCAGGTTGTGCCCCTAACGCGGCGGCGCCACCCCGAGATGCTCGGCCGGCCGAGCCCAGGTGGACTCAGGTGACCCCGCAGGCCCGCGACGCCACGAATGGCCTCGGCCTCCGTCCACACGGGCACCCCCCAACCCCGCAGGGACGTGGGTGGAGCAGCCTAGACAGCCCAGGGCGGGGCAGCCCCAGACTTGCTAGAACCTTCTGGGCGAGCGGCGTAGCCAGAGCTCCTCCTCGCAGCCCGCGGCCGCCAATCCGAGGGCGGAGGCAGCGGGGGCAGTTCGCCTCGCCCACCCCGCCGAGGAGGAAGGGGAGGATGCTGCAGCTGCGCCTCCGTGCCTCGGTTTCCCTGCGTGTCAAACGGCAGAGGCGCGCCCCTGGCCCGCGCGCGCGCGCACGCACGCACGTACCTTCCTCCCCGTAGCGGTCAAAGATCTCGCGCTTGCGCGGGTCGCTGAGCACGTCGTAGGCCTCGGCGATCTCCTTGAACTTCTCCTCGGCGCCGGGCTCCTTGTTCTTGTCCGGGTGGTAGCGCAGCGCCTGGCGGCGGTAGGCCCGTTTGATCTCCTCGTCTGACGCACCGCGGGCCAAGCCCAGCGTCTGGTAGTAGTCCTTGCCCATAGCCCACACCCACGACCCGCGACCCCGCTCTCGCCGTCCCCCGGC